CTTTCTTTCCCTGTCAGGTTTGGTTTCCTCCTCCCCTTCTTTACCTCTTTGCCTTTTGGCTGCGTGCAAGTGGGTCCTTGTGACACACGGGGATGGGGGCAGCCAGCGCTCAACCTGTCATCCACGTGGCTGGCCTTGTATGTAAGAGGTTATGAACAGGTGGAGCTTTCCTTACCTCCTTCCCCTTGCCCTTTTTTCCTTTTCCTTTTTTCTTTCCCCTTTTTTGCGCTCTGATTCACAATGTGACAATATATATATAAGGTTGGCCACACCCGGGCGGCTGCCCCCATGCCCACTCACCTCTTGTTCCATGTTCTTTGAGATAATCCTTCTATTTCGGTTCATGCATGTGTCAATTGCTTGGTGACATCTTTTTATGTAGGCACCTGTTTTCTCTTTTGCCTCTGTTGATGAACCTCCTGCGTCCTTTGCAGGACTTGTATACCTATTTGGCTAGTTTTATGATAAACTCAGCTACCTCCCTCTTTTTTATGACAGATGTTTTCACAGATGTTTTCACACATGTCTTGCTTGGCTGTTTGTGTTTTCAGATAAGCTTGGGATTGTAACCTTGTACATTCCTTCTGCACACCCCTTACATGTACACTCCTTGTGTACATCTCATTTTGTCTATTCGTTGTGTACAGCAGTTATGTACACTCTTTTTCCTTTTGTGCACGATGTGATTGTGAGTGTGACGGCGGTCACCGTAAGGGGCAATCGACATTGACATGCCATTTGTCGAGAGTGTATGGTGGCAATTGTTGTGCTGAGAATGCTAAGCTAGGTCTTCCATGTGCCCATCCACCTCATCCTTACAATGTGTGTCCTCTCTGTCGCCAAGGACGGACTCATTCTTGAGCCTTTTCTTACCCTTACTTTCCCTTTTTCGTTCTTCGTTTCTCTTCTCTTCATCTCTCTTCCTTGTGTTTAGCACCTCCTTTACTCTGCCTCTTTCTCACAGCGTACAAGTCGGGCGTTATGGCACACGGGGATGCGGGCAGCTTGCGCTCAACTTCATCAACGTGGCAAGCCTTGTACGTGAGAGGCACGGTGAAGGGGGAGTCAAAAGAAGAATGAGAAAAATGAATAGTTTGTGTGCCCCTCATCTTTGTTTGTTTTTTTTGTTTTTTTTAAAAATCTTTACCGTTTGTTTTGCAAAGTGTGCCCTTTCAGTTCATAGTTATGTGACAATATATAGTTTATGTATATCCTCTTCTCCCTCTCTGCCTACGGTTTACTGGGCACTTCTGTTTGACGATTTATTTATTTATTTATTTATATATCGTCAAACAGAGCTGCCCGGTAAATCGTAGGGGCTGTGACTCATCAGGAGGCTGAACCCTATGTCTGTCAATCCAACGGCTTTAACCAACTTAATGAAAGGGCGTGGCCAGTAACTGAAAAGGAGAGGGGTTGCTATACCCAGCGTCCCCCGAACGTAGCGCACCCATATGATGACTGCATCGGACAAGAAAGATAGCTTCTATACATTCTTAATCAGGGTGCGTTGTGTTCGGGGGATGATGGCTAACAAGCGTCACGTAAGTGTTCCTCCTTTCTCTCTTCTTGGTATTTGTGCATACACATAGGGCCTCGCTCCTCTACTCACCAAATGTGTAACATGTGAATGAATCTCCCGCAAGAACGTGGAAAGATACACCGCCATAATTTTTGTCTTTTATACACGTGGTGAGTAGTTGGAGCGAGGCCCATCTACAGAGGAGGAGCAGGTGCTTACGACATTGGAACTTTGTTGTGTTGTTTGGGTGTTCTCTTGTCTTTTGTCTTCTTTTCTCTTTTCTTCTTCTTCTTCTTCTTCTTCTTCTTCTTCTTCTTTTGTGTGCATGATTTTTGTGTATGCGCGTGCGTGCGGTTGTGCCTGGTGATTGCTGTCCTTCTCTTTCTTCTTCTTCTTCTTCTTCTTCTTCTTTCTTTTTCTTTGTGTGTGTGATTTTTGTGTGTGCCCTTGCAGTCGTTGCCTGGTGATTGCTGTCCTTCCCTTTCTTCTTCTTCTTCTTCTTCTTTTGTGTGCGTGATTTTCATGTATGCGCGTGCGTGCGTGCGGTCGTGCCTGGTGATTGTTGTCCTCTTCTCTTTTCTCTTCTTCTTCTTTTTCTGTGTTTGTGTCATTTTTGTGTGTGCGCGTGTGTGCGGTCGTGCCTGGTGATTGCTGTCCTGGACCTCCTCTAGCTGAGAATGAATCTCATGAGGGAAAGCGCAAGTGTGAGTCACTCTGGCCTATCTTCAAAATCTCTCATCAGAAGAGTCGCTACGTTTACGATCTGTTCTATCGGAGGAAAGCCATTTCCAAAGAGCTGTACGAGTTTTGCCTTAGCCAAGGCTATGCCGACCGCAATCTGATCGCCAAGTGGAAAAAGGTTTGTCGTGCGCGTTTGACTGCATGCTCACACTATGACTTTCCCTACTAAGCTCTGGACATGATTGCAGTCAGATTCATTCAAGTTTGGCCGCAATTGCGGTAATATACATCTAGGAAAGTGCTAGTGTCATTGCAGCCTTTTGTCATGTCCATGTTCGTGTGGATGCGGTGCTGATGTTGCAGTAATAACTTGGCAGTGCATTAATGGGCCCTGGCTCCACTACGCAGCACTTTACATGCATTTGGACGGTTTCTGGACTGATAATTTCAAAACTTGTCCGAATGCACCTGGTCCAGAAGGCATCCAAATGCATGCAGAGAGAGGCCCATGGGCAGCGTTTGGGGGAGGGGGCGGAGGGCGAGCTGGATGACGGGAAATTGGCACGTGTGGTTCTGAGGGCAGGTGTTCTGCACTGGGCCTTATCCTATATCGTGATATCCATTTCTCGATTTATGCGTGTCATCCATGCTAATCTTCTCTTGCTCTGTATCCTTCCAATTTTAACGGATGTCCCGAAGGACCTATATCGTGATATCTGATCTTTCTGTTTTGATGGTGATTATGATCTTCTTCGTGTTATGGATGTTGTCGGTTCGTGTTTAATGGGATTTTCACTACAAGGGAAAACGCTATTCTAAATTCTCAAATTTTGAATTCTTGTTCCCCTACCTAATGATCGTCATTGTATGTTGTATCGGATGTTCGATTTGTTTTTTGTTTTGTTTTGCTTTCCTTTTGGTGTTCAATTCATTGGACCATGTGTCGATTTCCTCGTGTCATCCTTGTGCAGGGCTCGTGATAATTAATTAAGCCTCGCTTTTCTGTATCCAAAAGATCTTCGTGTGTTTCCGATTGGAGCGGATGTGGTCCCAAAGGACTATGGGCCTGGTAGTGGCACCACTCACCATCCGCCAAGTTTTTTTTGTTTTTTTTTTCCCCCTAAAAGGGCGATATCCTTGGGGTATTATCATCAAACCACGAGTACCTTTCCCAGCCATTTTGCAGAAACACGTCGTGCATGCTGGCGTGTCGTGCGGGATGCATGGGGGTGCCGTTTCGCCCAAATCCATCCAGGCAAAACGGGTTGCATGCGAGGCCCGAGGGGTATCATCATGAAACCACCAGTACTTTTCCCAGCCATTTTGCAGAAACGCGTCGTGCATGCTGGCGTGTCGTGCGGGATGCGTGGGAGTGCCATTTCGCCCAAAATCCATCCATGCAAAACGGGTTGCATGCGAGGCCTGAGGGGTATTATCATTAAAATCACCAGCACTTTTCCCAGCCATTTTTCAGAAATGCGTCGTGCATGCTGGCTTGTCGTGCGGAATGCATGGGGGTGCCGTTTCGCCCAAATCCATCCAGGCAAAATGGGTTGCATGCGAGGCCTGAGGGGTATCATCGTTAAACCACCAGTACTTTTCCCAGCTATTTTGCAGAAACGCATCGTGCATGCTGGCATGTCGTGCGGAATGCGTGGGGGTGCCATTTCGCCCAAAGTCCATCCATGCAAAACGGGTTGCATGCGAGGCCCGAGGGTTATTATCATTAAATCACCAGCACCTTTCCCAGCCATTTTGCAGAAACGCGTCGTGCGTGCTTGCCTGTCGTGCGGGATGCATGGGGGTGCTGTTTCGCCCAAAATCCATCCATGCAAAACGGGTTGCATGCGAGGCCCGATTTGCCTGGATGGATTTCGGGCAAAACGGCACCCCGGTGCATGTCTCACAATGCGTCAGCATGCATGGCACGTTTCTGCAGAATGACTGGGAAAAGTACTCGTGGCTTAAAGCGACGGGCCTAAGGTAAATCAGAATTAATTTATTCTGTTCGTCTGATTGCACCTGGATTCGATCTCTGGTCTGTACGTCAAGTTCATGTGTGTATCAAATACTATCAATTCAGCTAGGGGCCTAGGGCCCAAATTCTGACTGCATCTGAACATGCAGTCTGTCCCCATGCATTCAAATTGTTTGCGGATGGCGAGTGGTGCAATTTGGCCCTATGCTTGATGTTCAGTGCTGAGGGCCTAGTTGCACTACCTGCCAGCCACCAAGATTTTGAATGCATCTCGACAACTTTCGTGACCAGATGCATTCAAAATGTTGAGTGATGGCAAGTGCTACAACTAGGCCCTGATATTGTGAATCTGATCGAGAGTCTGATAATGCAGCGAATTCTGATCGCAATTCTGATAATGCAGCGAATCTGATCATGATTCTGATAATGCAGCTAATCTGGTCGCCATGTGGAAAGAACAAGAGAGAGGTTTGTCCGCCCCCCCGGATAACTTGTTGTGCACTCAACCATGGGATGTTTGATTCTGATGGCATTCAGACTAGGTTATTTCTGGATGCATCTGGCCGCAATTCAGGCCATGTGCAGGTGAAAAGGTCCTAGTATGAGTGTGCGGTGATAGGAGCAAACTTTGGCTGATCTAATGAATCAAAAGGGAAAGGGAGTAGAGAAAAGAAGGCGGCATGGTGCAAGGTATAGACAGCCAGCGTTTGTTTGTGCATGCCTGTACGTGCACATCTGTGTGCATGCTTGTGGGTGTGTCTATGTGTATTGTCAGGTTCCCCATAGACAATCCCATCAAAAAAGAAAAAGAAAAAGAAAGACTGTCCCAGGACGCATTTAACTGATGGATAAGGACTAACCACGTGGCCGAGAGTTAGTTAGCGATTCCCCTGAGAATTCTGGTCGCCTTTACCCACGTCAAACCTGCAACACTAGCAGACTCAGTTCAAACCCTTGCCAAGAATGGCAGTAAATAAGTCCGAGAAACTACCGTTAGTCTGCCACGGCCATAAAACCCAGTATACACACCTGCTCAGCCTGGAACTCTGTGTGTGTGTGTGTGTGTGTGTGTGTGTGTGTGTGTGTGTGTGTTTTATATATATAGATATATACCGGGCAGTTCTATTTGACGATATATACACACACACACACACACACACACACAGAGAGAGAGAGAGAGAGAGAGAGAGAGAGAGAGAGAGAGAGAGAGAGAGAGAGAGAGAGAGA